AGTGCTCAAAATACAAAGTTCAGACACATTGCTCAGAGTATAAACCAAGCAAGTAAGGTTTTATTTATTATATCAAGTGCTCACGGAAGAGCTACTTGCATTAAATGAACTGATGAGGGATTTTTAGTTCCCGGCCTGTGTGCCTTGCACAGAGCCAAATCAGATTAGGGCTTCAGAGCCAGACCAGTGCATCAGGGCCTGATCAGAGCCAGACCAGAGCCAGACCAGAGCCTGATTAGGGCCAGATCAGTGCATCAGAACCAGATTAGAGCTTTAGAGCCAGATCAGTGCATCAGAGCCCTGGTCAGAACCAGACCAGAGCCAGATTACGGCCAGATCAGGGCCAGATCAGAGCACCAGATCCAGATTAGGGCCACATCAGAGCATCAGAACCTGATTAGAGCATCGGGGCCAGATTAGAGCAAGAGCAAAGCCACATCAGAGCCAGATCAGAGCAAGATTAGAGCCAAACCAGAGAAAGATTAGAGCATCAGAGCCAGATTAGGGTCAGATCAGAACCAGACCAGAACCAGATCAGGGCATCAAGCCAGATTAAGGACAGATCAGAACATCAGGGCCAGATCAGAGAATCAGTGCAAGACCAGAACCAGATCAGGGCATCAGAGCCAAATCAAGCCTTCACACTACATGATTTTAAAACGACGAGCTGAACTGTGCGGTTCACACTACATGACTTGCTCTCTGTGAAATCAGGAGTGTTCAAGTTGTTGAGCTGTTGACACCACACAATGATTCTATCTTGTCTACAAACCTCATGATGTCACGAAAAATCACACGATGAAACGAACCAAAAATGACGTGAAACGGCACGCACGCCAATAGAGTGCAGAAGTGATGACATCAACCCTCAGGTGCTCTTCGTTTCGGAGTCACACTTGTTATCTTCCCGGTCAAAAGTGACCGGACACCTAAAAATGAAACTTTCTCCATCCCAGTAAAACCAATGCAATTTATTTTTGTTCTATAATATTTATTCTTTTTAATTTAGTATTTTGAGACAATTTAATTGAATTTATTAATATTTATGCAATATTTATGGTTTATTTTTGCCATGGAAAAATATTTTTTTTTCTGTATATATTATTTTTTTTCAAAAAAATATTAATGTAGTATTTTAGTTTAATATAGAGTCTAGGCCTTCAGAAAAAAATATCTTTTGAAGAAAATTAGCACCATCTGGTTACAGTATACAGAAAAAGCGTAGAATCATGGTGTAACCACTAGATGGCGTGTACAGCTCTCTATGGAGAGGCATGTGAATTCCCCAGCTGTTTATGAACACTTTTTTTTGTTTGTTGGTGGATTTGTATATATAGTTGAAACAATCTCAAAAACTATTTCTTATAAAAAAAATGACAAAAAACAAATATTCACAATTTTTTTTTACAATTTCCCATTCATTTCCTATGGGGGTCATTTTTGACCGAAGACCACAAGTGTGACTATTTTTTTAAAACCACTTAGCATGCTCAGATCATGACCTCATTTTTTTTGTGTGTTCACATACATAATGCCATAAAAGTCACCAAGTTTCATAACATCGCGATGAAGCTGTGATTTTTAAAAATTCAAAACATAATTTTTGTAATCAAAATGTATTGGTGTGTATGTGTATAAAAGTGTGTTTGTGTGTGTGTGTGTTGGTGGGTGTGTCTGTTTTGCACTCTAGATGTTGTAGAGTGTCACCCCTTTCCTGCGGTGTACTTTTTTTTAGAATTGTGGCCGATTTGTAGATTGTACATACAAAAATTCAGAGATTTTTTCATTCATTTCCTATGGGTTGTCATTTTTGACAGATGAGCAAAAGTGTGGCTCATTTTTTTTACGACCACTTAAATTGCTCGATTCATGACCTCAATTTTTCTGTGTGTTCACATACCCAATGCCATAAAAGTCACCAAGTTTCGTAATTTTCTGAAGAAGCTGTGATTTTTAAATATTCAAAACAGATTTCTTTAATCAAAATTTATTGGTGTTTTTGTGTATAAAAGTGTGTATGCGTGTGTGTAGGGGTGGGTGTGTACTGCACTCTTGATGTTTTAGAGTGTCACCCCTTCAATGCTGAGCACTTTTTTCTAAGTGTTCACACAAAAATTCTCAAAGTTTTTGTGTTTTTGTCAATTTCCCATTCATTTCCTATGGGGGTCATTTTTGACCGAAGACCACGAGTGTGACTATTTTTTTACGACCACTTAGCCTGCTCGGATCATGACCTCAATTTTTTTGTGTGTTCACATACCCAATGCCATAAAAGTCACCAAGTTTCGTAACATTCCGATGAAGCTGTGATTTTTAAAATTTCAAAACAGAAAATTTTTCGTCAGAAATGACAGAAGAGCACCTGAGGGTTAAAGCCCTTTGAATAGTTTGCACTGAAACTGTCTTTTGGACCTTGAACCGTTTGGTTCCCATTGAAGTCCATTATATGGAAAACAATATCAAATACCTTAATTTCTTTTCGACTGAAGAAAGAAAGACATGGACATCTTGGATGACATACGGGTGAGGAAATTATCAGCAAAAGTGAACTACTCCCTCAAGAGTAATCAGTCTCACTTTTGGGCATCAAATTCGACCAATGTACATTTCAATGTAACTGACTTAAAGTTACAGAAAAATAATGATGACTAGTTTAATGCTAGTTGTTTAATGTTCATTTATGCTTGATATTTAAAAGAGTTTCTCTAATGTTGGGGTTTTGTGGTTAGCAGAAGAGGTTGTGTGTGTGGACACATCAATGAAGTCAATAGTGTGTGTTGCTTCACTCACTGAGCAATAGCTGTGCTAAATAACTTTACTAAATCGGAACTGATGCAAAGTGAATAACATTACAACAGTCTTCAGTACAGCCTTCCATAGCCGAATGAACTCATTTCATAATTGAACTGGAGCTGAATCAGCATTGTACACACTTCGAGTTTAATGACACGATTGTCTTTTTCACAGCAGAATTGAATTGATTCTGTAATTTCCTGTTTATCATGTAAAGCTGCTTTGAAACAATCTGTATTGTGTAAAGCGACATATTTAACTTGACTTTAGTGAGAAAAATCTAAGATACATAAAGCTATTAATTCAGTCATGGTGTCAGATGAGCATCAGGAAAGAAACCAACTACTTTTATCCACTGATCTGATCAAGTAGTAAAGATAAACCGATTGATTTGTATATTTCGATTCTTCCGTAGGTGGTTTTACCTTTTTTTTTGTGTGTGTAAAATGGATGGAGTAAGTATCATTTCAAAATCAATCTTTTGTTCCCTCTCTTGACAAGAAAGATGCAGACAGACCGAAATACAGCTAACACCCGCACATACAAACACATCCGGTGCGTTTCACATGTCAAACGCCTCCTCTTGAATAGTAAAAAAGGCAACGTGACCACATTATTGAAGATACTGCTGCCTTCACATTTAGGCGTTGTGTTTGTTATGGTCTTTTTATATCACATTTTGGTTGATTCATATCACATATTCTATTATGCAACATAACGGTGTGATTGTTCCAAGTCAATAGAGGTTAAAAGGGGCGGGACATATTGAACAGCCCCTCCCCTTTTTTAAAAATAGCCAATAGTGTTTAGCTCATCCCAGTGTTCTCGTTAAAGCCAGTTTCCTCTTAATCTCTAACCATTTCTATTCCCAATCTCCGCCATATTACTTTAGAATTCAATATACATAATTCAAACAGGTCTATGTTTTTTAGTCTGGACTCACTAACATGAAACCAGTCTACCATCCCAACGGAAAACATGTCTGAATCATTCCCTATCCACTATATATAGTACACTATCTGCCAATCACTATAGAAAATAGTTAATGTGTGAACAAGTGACCGATTTCAGCCACAGCTTCAAGTCCCCGTGAAATCAAAATTGAACCTATTTACTTTGTTAGCGCATATTACTAGTCTTGTGGTGAACAATTAATCCGTGCAAGTGAATATATATTAAAAAAATGTTTTACCTTAGTAATCTTTAATCAAAATCTGAAAAGTTACTTCCGGTCTGGAACGGTTTCTTTTTCTGATGACGTAGGTTTCACAGTTTGAGTGGGGAAACGCTTAACCACTCCCCTCAAACCGTTAGTTTGCTATGAGCGAGAGATGGAGAGGAGGAGCGCTAGAGTAAAACCCTGCCTTCTGTTCAATATTCCGTTTCACTTGGAAATACGTCACAGCACTGGAGAAAAATCGTTTGCAACTTCCGGTTCACGGGGACTTTCAGTGACTATTTGGGGGCAGGGCTTCAGATTCAAGCGAGATTTTAATTGGACAGAAAATATGATGAGAAGCTGAAGTGCAGAGTGATGTCATCAAATTGGCGGAAATGCACTAGTTGTCATTCACTAGCTTATAGATAACCTTGAGGCTAACATAATAACTAAAATTTTGATTTCATGGGGACTTTAAGCTGCAGGAAGTCGTTTCCCATGTTTTGTGCAGTTGGAGGAGAACAAGAGCCACCCGAGGCCACCCCGCTGTCACTCGAGTATTTCACATACGTCACAATAACACCATTTTTAACTGGCATAATCAATCAGTTATTGGTTCTGGGTGGAACTTGCTGAATCCGCTATGAGTCCAGTAACTCGTCACGTGACTTCTGAACAACACTTGAATGAACACATGAACTCCCGCGAAACTGCACACTATACATAAATTCATGAAAACACGCTAACTGCACCTTTTAGAAAAGTGTGGACTTGTGCACAAATCAAGGTGACTTCAGAACTGCACAAATGAACATGCACATCTGGATTCCTGGGCATATAAACTCCTGCACAAGCGAAAAACTGCACTTATAAAAATATGAACGCATGAACTACTGCGCATTCGGATATATAAACACGTGAAACACACACACACACGTTGGTTTGGGGGGTGGACCGTTGAAGTGCGTCCATGAAAACAAAAACAATCACAGAGGGTAACGTTAGAGATTACAGCGTAATTCCCCCGATACACAAGAGCATCCCGAGCGCACTCTCACACACTCACACACACACACACAGTGACAGCAGAAGCGCGTGCAGTGAGTGAAACGCGTCGATCAATCGCGTGTCTCTTACCCGTCTTTACGCTTCGCTTTATAAACATGCCCGTATGTGCCGCGACCCACTTTACAACCTTCATATTCAAACAGATCTTCCACTCTCTCCCTCTCGGCGGCGAGCTTCGTTTTGAAGTCGTAGTCCATTTTAACCCATAAATATTTCTTAATTTACAATAAAATAAAATATTAATTATTACATGCATTAATTAAATGATCCGATCGTTTTATTACCCCACCATTTCCTTGTTTGGGATTTTGGTCGGCTCCGCTTAATGATCACGTGCTCGGTGACGCTATTTATTGTGGCGGGTGGCCTTCTGGGATATGTAGTGTTCTCAGATCAACCCTGCGGTTTGAGTCAACGACGATAGGACTTGTGTAAAACTACAACGCGCAAATCGCGCTGTGGACGTCTTTCCTACCGTCGTTACGTTCCCTTTCAAAAATGCATTTTCAAACAAACATTAGTTGTGATTGCAGCATGAGGACAATCTAACTCTTGTTCTCAAAATGTGACGCATGATGAATAAAATGTGTAAAATACACTCCCTTTTTCCTTCAGTAAACTGGTGAATAAACGGACACGTATGTCTATGCACTGGTGGTGCAGCGTTATAGCAACGCGAACGCGAAATGTTAATTCATCTATACACGGGCATGTGCGGATGTGTGCCGCGTGAATTCATACCTTTACGCAACATCTCATTTGATTGAAAACAGTCACAGCCAATCGCTGCCGGGACGAGCGCCGCCTCTTGGCCGTGATTGGTCGCGACCGCGATGACGTCAGCTGGTAGGTAATAAAACCTCCGCGCAGTCTGCCGTTCTGCGCTTACACAGTATGGCCGGCGATATTAGCTAGCACTCGCTCACGGTATTCTCTGAAAAAGGGAAGACGGTAAAAAAAACAAGGCAACTACATCTGGACTGCTCAAGGACTGTAACTAAGCTTATAAATTATAACTACCAATAAAGGACTAATTAAATTGGGATTCCATCCGACGCTTAAATTTCTGTTGTTCGAGTCTGCTTGTCTCACGATGGAAGAGGACAACGGTGCACACTTCTTCGAGGGGACCGAGAAGCTCCTGGAGGTCTGGTTCTCCCGGCAGGACGAGGCCAAAGGGACCGGGGATCTGCGCACTATCCCCAGGTGGGTGAATCCGTATCAGGCTGGATTTTCCGTTAACCGAGCCAGATTTGACGTTACTGATCTGATTCACGACACCCTGCCCATGAAGCCCTGCCTAAAACATGACAATGCTGTTAGTAATGTTAATGTAATCGCCTAGAGAGTGAGTGGGTGAGTGACATGTGGCCCTGACACCCGTGGCGTGATCAGCAGTTTTGGCCATTTCTGACACACCATCCCCCTTTTCACCCATTCATTTGTGCTGTCATGACTGGAGCTGAACCTCGAGCCCCGATTAGCTTTTTCTGCAGCGCGTAACGTTACTTAAATTATTCCAACGTCAACAACGTTTACCAACATATTGATGTAACGTTATCTCGCAACATCAGGCTTTATCTGTTGATATCTCGTATCGCCGCTCTGCGGGGCTCAGCGAGATTGATGCTTTGCTGTGTTCGGATCAGCTCTGCTTCTGTCTAAACCCGTTATCGACGCGCTTTAGCGTTGATCAATTGATTAGCCAGTGACTAGTGGCTACCGCTAGCTGATCTGTATATATTATGGCGCCATAGTGAACCCCATCATATCTCCTGTATCTGTGCACTTAAATGAATGGATTTATTCTGTTGACCACCAGATGTAACGTTTATTGGAGTTAATGTTCATTTTAACAGGAACTCCTCTCTGAACATTTTTAATCGCAGAGATGTGAACACATGCGTATGTCAATGACTGCTCGTAAGGGCTCTATTTTTGGGAACTATCATGGCGGTTGTCGAGTTGCGCCGCAGAGCCTGCATGTGAAGACACGTGCTGCGTCACATGCTGTAAGCTCCGCCCCGCGCTGTGATTGGCCGAGAGTCCCGCTCGCTCATTGGTCGGTTTCTATTGCGCATTAGCTCGACAGCTGCAGGTCAGTGAGTGTGAACTGATGATTCAATGCAGACACAACAACATCGTCGCTTAAACACCAACGTGCAGGAATGCTTGGACATTTACAAGGCTGTATTACAGTGTTAAGAGATGCATAAAATAAAAAATTGCTGAAAAATAAACACTTTTTATCTAATAGATTTATATTATGTTGGCTAAAATTATGCTTGGCTAGACGGATCGATAGCAAATGGATAAATAAATATATTGTTTGTTAATGAACACGATTGGCCGATACTGATATTCTCAAAATATTTTTCGGTCTATTACTACAAAAACAACCGGTGGTGATGGTTACCATGAGTTATATTAACAGCAAAAACCTACAATGATGCTGCCAAAAAAGGTCGAAAAAATAAGTAGTTTCCAAAAATATAGTATATTTTTTATATACCAATCTTGTACTTTTTTACAGTTCAGTACAACATGTCTTAAACCCTTAAATAAAAGACTTTTCAGCTCATTTAGGCCATAAGTGTGTAAAACATGAATGAGGATGTGTGTGTAGTATCCTGGTGTCCCTTTGGTTTCTCTGAAGACTGAAAGCTGATCTCTGCGGTATCTCTGACTACGGCTGTCTGAGTGACTGATGAGGGTATTAGTTTACTTCCGGGAAAGCGTTGGTTAACCCTCTCAGAGACGCTAAAAGAGGATCATCGTGGAGCCGCCCCTCCTCCTCCCACAGGATGACCAAGCACTATCTCCAGGGACTGGCGCTGTGTTATGTGTCATAAATCATGTGATCAAATCATATTTTCACAGTTGTTGTTTTTTTTGTTTTTTTTTTTGCCAGTTGCAGATTGACTGGAAATGAATCAATGTTTTGATTTCCTTTATCTTGGTTTTCCTCTCACATCACGGCTCATATTTCATATCAACAAGTACATGTAATATGTTAAACATTAGTAGCATTTAATTTAAAATAGTTTATTCACAGTTCAAATGATAACTTTTTTTTTTAAAGTAATGCTTGATGTATTTTTAATCGGGCTGTCCAACGAATAATCGCGATTAATCGCATGCAAAATAAAAGTTTGTGTTTACATAACATATGTGGGTGCACTGTGTATAATTATTGTATATATATATATTCATATATAAATACACACACATGCATGTATATTTAAGAAAAAAATATTATTTATATGTAAAATAAATATAAATATATATTATATTTATTATATATAAATCTACATACATGGAAATATTTCTCAAATATATACAAGCATGTGTGTGTGTTTATATATACATATATATATATATATATATATATATATAAAATAATTATACACAATGCACCCACATATATTATGTAAAACACAAACTTTTATTTTGGATGCGATTAATCGCAATTAATCGTTTGACTGCCCTAATTTTTATATTTTGGGATTGAAAGCGCTCCAGGACCGTTTTAGTGGAGATGCTTGATAGATCGAGCACCATATCGATATCGGCCTGATAACAAAAGTGGCCAATATATTAAAGACAATAAAATTATTATTTATTTTTGCGGAGTCGCTTTCGATGTGCACTGTTCGCCATGAGGGTTTTTATTTGCTTGAAATATGATTGGAAGAGGGGAAAATCCAGTAAAGTGCAACAAAGGTGTCAAATAAGCTACATAAAATTATATAATGAGAATGTTATAATTTTGTGTTTGGGTCATGGCTTTTCGGCCAATGTATCAGCTTTCAAAGGCTACGTTCACACTGCAGGGCTTAATGCTCAATTCCGATTTTTTTGAAAAAATTCGATTTTTTTTTTTTTTTTTTTGCAAGGCCGTTCACATTTCCAATTAAATGCAACCTTTTGTGATCTACGTCGCCCGTGACCTTTTGAACGTAATTACGTATTACGTGACGTTACAAACGCGCCTCACAGAATAGAGCAAGGCTAGCATTTGCCCTTAGAAAAGTTACATTTTTGGAATAAGTTTTGAAATAACCGATCGTTTCGCATGATAAGACCCTTATTCATCGCCTGGTGTCGTTTAAAGACATTTGAAGCTGCATCTGAAACTGTTATTAACTGTCTTTTCGAACTTGGACCGTCTGGTTCCCATTGAAGTCCATTATATGGAGAAAAATCCTGGAATGTTTTCATCAAAAACCTTAATTTCTTTTCGACTAAGGAAAGAAAGACATGGGCATCTTGGATGACATGGGGGTGAGTAAATTAGCCTATCAGCAAAAGTTTTTTCAAAAGTGAACTACTCCTTTAAAGTTTGTTATTTTTTTTAAAAAATGAGCGATCGTTTGGCTAGATAAGACCCTTATTCATCGTCAGGAATCGTTTAAAGCCCTTTGAACAAGTTTGCAGTTTGTACTTAAAGTTTCTTTTGGACCTTAAACCATTTGGTTCCCATTGAAGTCCATTATATAGAGAAAATCCTGGAATGTTTTCGTCAAAAACCTTAATTTCTTTTCGACTGAAGAAAGAAAGACATGGACATCTTGGATGACATGGGGGTGAGTAAATTATCAGCAAAAGTTTTTTCAAAAGTGAACTACTCCTTTAAGGTGTGCCCTAAATGTTCTGTAAGGGGGCCAGAAGGTTGGTTTGCGGTCCTGTGATCGCCACTCTCTGTGTCGAATGTTGGAATGACACCAGACTAGAAGTGCTACTAATATCACAAAATAATCCCGTTATATGCACGATCTTCAATAACGCCTGAGCTTGAGCCACACGTGTGTAATTTGAGTTCTCTCAGCGAAAGCCAGAGCGGATGACCTCATCCACACACCACGACATCCAGCCAATCAGCGTCCAGATGCCGTCCTGCGGACTCCTAACGAGCTGCTGACCTCATCAGCTTCTGCCTTTTCCTTTTGCTTTTTTTCCAAAAGATCTAACTTTGGAGATATTTGATATTTGCTGACTTTCTTCAAATATGAAAAGTAGCTCACCTACTCAGATTGATGTAGAAAACAATAGGTCATTGTTGCCTAATCGTAATCTTTCTCTTTCTGTGTTTTTTTTTTTTTTTCAGATTTGAGTGGGACAAACTTCTGGAGAATGTGCATTGCTTGATTATAAGTGTGACAAAGACTGACAAGCAGGAAGCTTATATACTCAGGTGAGCTTTTGACATTGTCGTCTGTGTGTCTGAGGTCGGAGGACAGGATTGTAATGGTGACGCTTGTCCTCCCTTCATTGGCCAACGCCTTTAAATCATCATGAAATGAAGGTTTCTCACACCGAGAAGAGGTTATTTGTAGTGACGTTACTGCTCAAAGTGATTTACTTTAATGAAAGCTTTCACTGACAGAAGCGTAAAGCGCGAGCACTGAGTGTTTACGTGCTAACAGCGCTCACACACTGGCCTCGCGCAGCGCTGATAAGCCCACAGTAGTGGTTCAGATCCCAGATAACGCCAGTATGAATGGCATCCGTGTGACATTCACCAGGTCACCGGCGCAGGATTGTAAATGCGTCCTGCTAAGCAGACGCTAAGCTATTTATTAGGTCTGAGACACAGAACGGTCAAAGGGAGAACTCGGCTCAAAGCTATTCATAGCCGTCCGAAGAAATCACTCTAGATATTGGCATTAATGTGTTTTTGCTGAAATAAAAAGGAGAATATTTAATCATGGTAACACTTTAGAATACGGTTCATTTGTTAATGAATAACTACACAAGAACCAATGAGTAACACAATATTAACAATCTAGTAACTATTATTAACTAACAAGAAACTCTGATTAACGAACTAGTAAGTAATAGCGCACAGACGAAAGTGGTAGCTCACTATTAAGTAATCAATAACTACTATTTTTTTAATACTTCCCAGAGAACTACTGAAAAAGTTTATTAACAATCTAGTGACTACTATTAACTAAAAGAAATTCTTATTAACGAATTATTAAGTAATAGCTCACAGATAAAAGTGTTCTGTGGGAATTACTAATTATTTGGATTCGTATTATAAAGTGAAGATCATTGGAACTAACTAGTAATTACTAAAGACATTTTCTAAAAGTATACTAAAGTTCACCAAAAATCTCAAACGTTTGCATAAATCATGACTAGATCATGTAGTAACATTTGAGTCATGTTACTTTCAATGAAGGAACCGTATTCTAAAGTGTTACCATTAGGGTTGGGTATCGAGAATCGAGTATCGATTGGAACCGGGACTAACTTTTCGTTTTTCCCGGAATCGTTCAAAAGTTAAAATTTCGATTCCTAGTTTTGATATTCACAGTCCGCCGAGCGGAAGAAGAAACCACTGAACAACACCAACGAAGAAGCGTCTACCGGAAGTGTTGGCATAACCGCACGAGTCGAACATGAGTAGCTTACGTCGGCGATCCAAAGTGTGGCTTCACTTTTCTAAAAATAACGAAATCTCGGCAAAATGCAAAATTTGTGACCGAAGGAGTATTTCCTTCAGAAAGGCCGTTGGTTAGCAAGGTTAGCTAAACTTTTTTGACCCTGCCTCTTAAAAGATTCGGAATCGAGAATCGTTAGGAACCGGAATCGAAACAAGGAATCGGAATCAGAATCGTTCAAATTCAAACGATACCCAACCCTAGTTACCAATCATTAGCATAATTGTATATCGCATCCGTTTAGTATAACCAAATAAAAATGTTCCCAATAGCCTGAGTTTCCCCATACCGCGGTTTTATTCGCGCTGCTAGGAAATCTGGATCCCATGATTAGCGAGGGAACCAATCACAGGACGGGATGACTCCGAAGCAGTTTGTGTATACCAATGGATCCAACATGACCGCAGACCTGAAGTTACCTTTCAATGCAGCGTAGATGCAAAGACATAAATCGTTTTCCTCGTCTACTCTCACGTCGCCTGGTATCATTGACCCGATTGGCTATTAGCTACGCACAGGCGCACGTAGCACCCAATAAACGGCTCTGGGCATTCGTAAACCGAGAACATGAACATGTGGTTTCCAGACCAATGAGACGTGGTTTGACGTTAGCCAGGCTAGGTTTCCATAGACGACCCATTAACAATTCACGACAACAATTCAGGCGTTTGTTATGGGTGTGGGAAAGATTCAGATCATTGATATCCCAGTGTTGATCTCGCTATATCATTGTCCTCCTCGACTGTCTCCTTCTCTTCCAGTGAGAGTAGCATGTTTGTCTCCAAGAGACGTTTCATTTTGAAGACATGCGGAACCACCCTCTTACTGCAGGCACTGGTGCCACTGCTGGAGCTGGCTCGCGAGTACTGCGGCTTCGACGCCATCGAGGTACCCCACACACACACACACACTCTGAACATCGCTAGCGGACAGCACTGGAACTACAACTTATCATTTAGATATCAATTCTGGAAATTCCCATCTGGTTTAATACACTGTGAAATCTAACAATTGTAGTAACTATCACTTTTTGGTTAACTTATTGTCTTAACTTAATTGAAAGAAATCTAGTAATATTTAATATTTGCATACTATTTCTTTGATGCCAAATTAAGATTTATGGTTTGAGGTAGAGCCAGACCGATATTATCGGCCGATATTAGGCATTTTCCAAACTTTAATGGCCGATAAATGAATATTTCAAAAATAAAATAAAAACGGACGAAACACACTTGAACCATGTCATGAGTGTTGGAGTTGTATAGTTTGTCCACCAGAGGGCGCTCTACACCGTTCCTGTTGGCAACACTCGTTGAGTTGGTCACGAGACATACATTGCTTGAATAACAATTAAAAGATCATCCCCATCAGTTCTCTGAACTCAAATACGCAGGACAACATTTGTGACTATCATGTCCAGTTTTGCTGCTGTTAAATAAGCCGAGAGTGAAGCGGGATTAGCTAGTAATAATTACGTTACGTTGTTACAGTGTAGTTGACTGACTGTCCTTTTAACTTTTGACAACGTGACTGAAGTATTTCTTTAATAGCGCGTGACAGTTATAGCAATGAGACGCATCATCTCTCCTCGGCCTGTTATATTGAAAATGTATGTTTTACAATTTGCAGTATGACGTTATCCATTGCTAAATTATGGCTCATCACAGACTAGCTAACCATGAAGCTAGCTAACGCCACTATCGTCAGTCTGTTCTGTCGTGACAATAAAAGAAACAAGTTTCTTTTTAAAATGCATTATCATATTATTTTAGTTAAAACTCATAAATAACTACAAATAACTAATGTTAGGGAAATCTGTTAATGTTTTGTTGCGCGTTTCTGAAATAAAAAAATAAATAATAAAATATTGGCCGATATATCGGATTTTAAAAACGAAAAAATATTTGTATCGGTATCGGCCTTCAAAATCCTTTATCGGTCGGGCTCTAGTTTGAGGATGCCATTTTGTAATGAAAAAGAGGGTTTGATGTGTCTCTATTTAAACCCTTCCCTTCCACCCCAAAACTTATAAATGCAACATAAAACCAAGAAAGAAAAATTTAAATATTAAATCTTAAAATCAATAAATGGATTAATTAATAGAAATGTATAGTTATATTGCGTTGTTTTGACTCATTTCCTGCATGTGTGCTGTTATCTTTCTCCTCAAGTCACTTTGAATGTTGAATGTTCGACACAACTGAACATTTTGAGGGAACATCATTCATGTTTCGGGAAGGGAACGCGTCGCACATGATCCCCAACCCTAGTAAAGGCAGATGATGACGCACTTAAGAACAAACATTGGGTTTATGGGTTCACGTGAGAGTTAGTCACACTGAAGAGAGTGAGCTCAGATGAGTCCATTTGCATGTGATGTCATGAGGATGAATCATTGGTCTTCAGTGTGACCCTAAAGAGAATATGAAACCGATATAGGAGAAAACATTGTTAATGCGTCGCAAATATTTCAGGGGAACTCATTGGCTGCTTCTGAAATAGTTCTCTACTGTATAGTTGGTGAAAAACTGTAATAATAATCATGTTTAATTAATGTAGCGTCTTTCCCAATCTCAAGGACGCTTAACAATAACAGTAAGGAACAGACAGTTCATACATGATAATGGATGGTCCACGGACACGAGCGATTGCAGAAGACGAACACACTATAACGGGAAAAAGAAAAGCATAACCCTGTTTACAGACGGCGCAGAAGGTGGGCGGCAGCAAGGGTCACATGGGGACTAGTGTACTTAAAGGGATACTCCACTTTTTTTGGAAATAGGCTCATTTTACCACTCCCCCAGAGTTAAACAGTTGGGTTTTACCGTTTTCGAATGTACCGATTTTTTTATATATATATATATATATATTTAGAAGAATATCAGTAACTAGACAGTTTCTGGTCTCATAGACTTCCATAGTATATTTTTTTCCTAAAAAGACCAGAAACTGTCTGGTTACTGATATTCTTCTAAATATATATATATATAAAAAATAAAAAAATAAATTAAAAAAAAATCGGTACATTCGAAAACGGTAAAACCCAACTGTTTAACTCTGGGGGAGTGGTAAAATGAACCTATTTCCAAAAAAAAAGTGGAGTATCCCTTTAAGGACACGTTATGACTGTAATAGTTATGGAAAATGTTTAAGATGATCGATAATACTGGTTGAACACAGGTTTTTAGGCTTAAATGTGTGACAAAAGGAGAGTCTGAATTCACAGTAGGGATAGTCCCCGGGTGACCTCCGACCTCTGGTGAGGCCACTGTACATGCAGTGTTACACTCATACTGTATAAACATGTGTCTTCAGTACGTACTCGAGCGTTTCAGGTGCAGCGTTGACCGAGTTCTCCATCGCCACGTCCTTGTGTTCGTACGACGCGTCTTTATGGGAACACGTGACCTGATCATCTCTTTATTTTCCCTTTGCAGAATTTCTTCTATTCTCGTAAAAACTTTATGAAGCCCACCCATCAAGAGTTCCCTCACCGCAACTTCCAGGAGGAAGTCGAGTTTCTCAGCCAGATTTTTCCAAGTACGGTTTCATGACGCTGTGTATGAAATGGTGACGAGCGAGTATTGAGTCTGATTGATGTGTGTGTTTTCTGTGTGTGCACAGATGGAGCACCCTACTGTATGGGGCGACTGAACTCAGACTGCTGGTGAGCTTTACATCTACACTTCAACACCTCATGACTGCAGATAAACCGTATTATGAAATAGGGCTCCGCAATATTGAAGAAAAATATCTTTAAAACTCATTAAAAGGATACTTCAGGATTTAGCATTAAGCCTTGTATTAGTAGGAAACCTGTAGTATTATCAAATTACCACCCTCATATCCCCCTGAGACGAGAGATTTATGTTTTTTTTTTTTTTGTCTGGAAAAAAAATCATCAGATGACACAAATTGTCATTGTCCGGCATGTCCTCAACCCGCCCATAGAGGGCGATCTCACTCACAGAATGTGAGAACACATAGTGTCGGCCATCTTGTTTTGGAAGCTAAGCTAGCAGGCTCTTGTTCTGTGGAGAAAGCTGAGTAGTAGCGGTTACCATCCTCTTTTTCCCGGACATGACTCACGCCGTTCTCCCGCGGCTCTCACTCGTCCCGCTCGCCACAGTAAATACAATGAATGGCGACTCTAGACAGCAAAAGCTGAATCCCGGACGTTTTTGGCGATCTCGAAACACATTTTCTGGCAGACTCATCAAGTAGACTCACTAGTAGCCTAGACTTGTTGTTTAACTACTGCAATCTGTTACCGGTAGGCGTGGCCTCCTAGGGCAGCGAAGCAAGTGCATTCTGGGAGTTGTTGTCTCATCCACATAAGCCAAAAATACATTTTCTTGCTTTCCTTAAAGCTACTGAAGCTATTCAGCCGAGAGCAGTGAGCGAGTCCGTTATTGCAAGCCGTTGTGATGCATATTGTGAGGTATATATTTCGATAGTTTCGCTGTATTATATGTTTAGCCCTATTACGAGAGGTTCGATGTCCCAAATCTTTGACTAGTGGAGTGTTTGGCTGTTCCTAAAACCAAACAACCAGACTGACATCATTTGGATGTGCCGTTTTCTTGCTCACCCGTGTCCTCTGTGTCCTGTAGGTACTTGTTTACGCTGGAGCTGCCGGAATACTGGGAGAACAAGCAGGCGGACCAGACTCTAGAAGTTCTGATGAGTGACCTTGACCCAGCTGTGATGGACCAGTTCTACATGAAAGACGGTGTTTCTGCTAATGATGTCACTCGTGTACGGTTCACTTCTGCTCTCAAGTGTGTCGTGTGTTTTTTACTTCGTGCAGTTTTTTGCTCCTTGGTGACATTTGTAGAAACCAGAGCGTTAATTGTGGTTTTAGACGACTCAGAACGACAAATTCTGAGTCTCTCGGAGTCTTGAGTCTCTCTGAGTCTGAGTCTCTCGAAGTCTGAGTCTCTCGGAGTCTTGAGTCTCTCCGAGTCTTGAGTCTCTCGGAGTCTTGAGTCTCTCGGAGTCTTGAGTCTCTCGGAGTCTTGAGTCTCTCGGAGTCTTGAGTCTCTCGGAGTCCGAGTCTCTCCGAGTCTGAGTCTCTCCGAGTCTTGAGTCTCTCGGAGTCTGAGTCTCTCGGAGTCTTGAGTCTCTCGGAGTCGGTGTCTTGAGTCTCTCGGAGTCTTGAGTCTCTCGGAGTCTTGAGTCTCTCGGAGTCTTGAGTCTCTCGGAGTCTTGAGTCTCTCGGAGTCTTGAGTCTCTCGGAGTCTTGAGTCTCTCGGAGTCCGAGTCTCTCCGAGTCCGAGTCTCTCCGAGTCCGAGTCTCTCCGAGTCTCTCCGAGTCCGAGTCTCTCCGAGTCTCTCCGAGTCCGAGTCTCTCCGAGTCCGAGTCTCTCGGAGTCCGAGTCTCTCGGAGTCCGAGTCTCTCGGAGTCTTGAGTCTCTCTGAGTCTTGAGTCTCTCCGAGTCTTGAGTCTCTCCGAGTCTTGAGTCTCTCCGAGTCTTGAGTCTCTCCGAGTCTTGAGTCTCTCCGAGTCTTGAGTCTCTCCGAGTCTTGAGTCTCTCCGAGTCTTGAGTCTCTCCGAGTCTTGAGTCTCTCCGAGTCTTGAGTCTCTCCGAGTCTTGAGTCTCTCGGAGTCTTGAGTCTCTCGGAGTCTTGAGTCTCTCGGAGTCTTGAGTCTCTCTGAGTCTTGAGTCTCTCCGAGTCTTGAGTCTCTCCGAGTCTTGAGTCTCTCCGAGTCTTGAGTCTCTCCGAGTCTTGAGTCTCTCGGAGTCTTGAGTCTCTCGGAGTCTTGAGTCTCTCCGAGTCTTGAGTCTCTCCGAGTCTTGAGTCTCTCCGAGTCTTGAGTCTCTCCGAGTCTTGAGTCTCTCCGAGTCTTGAGTCTCTCCGAGTCTTGAGTCTCTCCGAGTCTTGAGTCTCTCCGAGTCTGAGTCTTTGAGTCTCTCTGTCTGTCTCCACAGATGAGTGGAATTCGTGACCTGATTCCAGGTTCAGTGATTGATGCCACGATGTTCAACCCTTGTGGATACTCCATGAATGGAATGAAAACGGATGTAAGGAGACTGTGTTTAAGGCTGTGTTTCTTCACGAGAAGTGGCTAAAGTGGCTCTGATTTGATTTAAGCTCGCTTCTCTTTCTAGGGAACTTACTGGACGATTCACATCACCCCTGAACCAGAGTTCTCTTATGTCAGCTTTGAAACCAACCTCTCCCAGACGTCCTATGATGACATCATCCGCAAGGTTGTGGATGTCTTCAATCCAGGGAAATTTGTTACCACGCTTTTCGTCAATCAGGTACGTTACGCAACGCAGCGACACATCAGAAACGTTAGAAATTAGACCGCTAGTATTACGATTATACATCGGGCCGTATTCACAAGATCCCGGCGGCTTTGTGAATCGGTTTAAGAGGAGAACTGTTAGTGGTGAGATGACACATTTCATGAATCCAGCCTGTTGTAAATGTTTCTCGTACTAATACACCTTCAGTTGAGGGACGCCAGTTCCTATTTCAGACAAACCGAACACCATCTCTAATAAAATTCTTTGGTAACACTGTATTGTACAGTGTCCTTGTTACACATTACTTGTAGTCACTATAGTAATTACTATAAATTGTGTGTAATTACACGCAACTAACCCTAGTAATTACATTTAGTTCCTTAATATTACTTTACTCTATTCTGATTGGCTGCAGGGTGTCCATTAAGTGACACCTAGTAAAGGAGTTCGGGTGAAACAGACTGTTCACCGTTCAACATTTAATAATTAAATGCACTGGCGACATCAGCAGTGAGTAACCATAGCAACAGGCAGTCAAACATCTAGTTAGCTGTTATATGCCTACCTGTGTTTTAATTATAGGTTAAAAATAAACCAAAGAGCCTAGCTTACATGGGAAAAAAAATATGTTAGCTTTTTTGGCCCGTAAGTTAGCTAAACTGAAGAGTTCTACGAATATAAATATATCCGGTTGCTAAATAAACCGTCAGGCGTACCAGCGAAACCAAGGTATTGTGTGTAAAAACGTTAGATTTCGATTGTAAAACTAATGTGTTGTTTGGTATTAGTGGGTTAACGCCCTTCGAGGTGTAATGGAGTTCGGTTCACGCCATTAATACCGGACAATGCTCCGTACTCGAACATAATTGCACTGCAACGCGCTCGCCTCAAAATAAATTGTTACAAATAATTTTATTCATAAATATTATATTATGTGTGAATATTTTATTTATTTGTTTATTTGAAAAGGGACAATGTACACTAATCAACATTCAAAACAAATGTAAGTGCACCCGAGGCTAGTTTTCATCGGCAGTCCCCTTGCCAGATGTTACTAGGCATCCTAAAATAATAAATAATAACAATGCAATACAGTTCTAATATACAATAAACAAAAAGTAAAAAGATTAGACTGTGTCAAAATCACAAATAATCGAATAAACAGATAAAACGGAGATAGACGATACAATTATTGTTGGTGAATTGGACCCGCATCAATGTTGACTGTTGATTTTCAACAAGCCATTTCTTAACATTAATCTTAAATGAGTAATAGGATGTGGACTCTCTAATTAGTGGGGGTATTGAATTCCATTGATGCGACGCAGTAAATGAAAAGAATGCTGTTTTTTTGAATGGGCGCCTGACGATGCATTGAAAGTGTCTGGATTTCTAATCGCAGCTCAATGCCGTCGTAGCGATATCAGTGTGTATGTGGTGTGAACCTGATTTGATAAAATAACTCGTCCTCTGTTTAATTGTATTTTTTCCGTTGCACTGTTACTGCAGTCGAGCCTGGAGTTTACAAGGGCCGTTGTTAGTGAGCATTCAGAGGTGACGTGCAGATCCTGAATATCTTCAGCGCCGACGCTGTGATTCTGAGTAATCAAACGCGCGCTAATGTGTGTGTGTGTGTGTCTCGTTCCCAACAGAGCTCCAAATGTCGCAGCGTTTTCTCTCCGGCGCAGAAAATCGAGGGCTTCCGCCGCCTTGACCGCCAGTTGGCCCACTTCAACGACTACAACTTCGTCTTCACCAGTTACGCCAAGAACCGGCCGCAGAACCAGAGCTGAACCTCTGAAATGAAGAAGCGCAAGAAGAAACGGAGCGGCTGCGGAGAGAGACGGCGTGTGTGTGTGGAGTCTTCTGGCTGTAGATCTTCCCTGAGTTCAACATTTATGCATCCTTGTACCTATGAAGTAGATATCGTGCATGAAAGCTCTTCTCGTGTCCCTGTAGATATTCTGGCCCACTCTTGCTGTGATCTTGAAGTGCATGTAGAGTTCTTGAACTTGGTGGTGTGTGTGAGGCATGTCACACCGGCCCAATACATGCAGTGCTCCCTTCCCTTCCTCCAAGTGTCCCCTCGCATCCCCCACAGACAGGGTTTCCGCCCTCACTAGGCAGGCGCCCTGACGTGCTCGGACCAATCAGAAGAGCCGCTTTTTCTTTTTGATTTCCCTTTGGTTTGATACACATGACGTCATTTAAAGGGTTAGTTCACCCAAAAATGAAAATTCTGTCAGTATTTCCTCACCTTTATGTGTTTATTTGTTCTGCTGAACACAAAGGAAGATATTTGGAAGAATGTTTGATCTCATTCCCCATTGACTTCCATTGTAGGAAATAATACATAGGCTACTATGGTAGTCAATGGGGAATGAGATCTGTATGATTAAAACATTCTTCCAAATATCTTCCTTTGTGTTCAGCAGAACAAATAAACGCATAAAGGTGAGTAAATACTGACAGAATTTTCATTTTTGGGTGAACTAACCCTTTAAATATGCGCAACTCGCTGCTGTATAGCTAGCTAACGTTTCTGTGAAGATATCCCTCCTCGTTCATCTCGCAGACGGTTGTTAATTCCGAGTGCGTAGAGAAGTGAATGTTGTAGAAGTCGAGTAAGTTACCCATCGCTCCGGGCCTAACGGCGGCTAGTGAAAACGCAACGCTAGCATTAGGTAGCTAATTTTTCTTTGTCAGTTTGAAGATACAAAAAAAGACGAATGCTCATCTGATTTTCTTCAGCTTTCCAGGTTTTGTCGTTATTGAAAGTACTGAGGAAGTGAATGTCTCAGAAGATGAGTTGCTTAACGGTTGCCTTACTCTGCAATATATAACCATCATGGTGAAACCCAACTGTCGTCTTCCTGTCCTCAGAAGGCCTTTCTCGTGAATGTGTCGAGTGTAATTAATCAATAAAGAGCAGTAGTTAGTGGAAAGGTGACTGTGTGAACTGAAAAAGGAGGATGTTTGTGAATGATGTGGAAGACCAGATGTGAAGGAGAGTGGTGTGTGTGTGTGTGTGTCCTGCTGTTGAATTGAAACCGCTGGACAGACACTTTGCTTTCGTGTGTCGATCGCACAGCAAAGCATTTTTCTTTCTCCAAACAGTGAGTTCTGTGTTTCTCTACATGAGCCGGTTAGCACACACACACAATAGGCGCGCGCTGATCTGAGCACGTCAGGGTCGACCCGGATCATTCCACAGAAACCGCAGCTTTATTACAGTTTCTTCTTCTGTTGCAGTAGGTTTGTCCCTCTCCCGGTCGTTGTGCATCGAGGGAAATGTTTAGTTTTCCATGTGCTAGCGGTTAGCGGCATAGCGGGATGTCCACTTCGCAGTGTGTCTGCTTCAGCTCTTTGTAACGTTATCGAGTTTAATTTCTGTTTGTAAAATGTAAGCAGCTTGGTTCACTGGTGTGACGCGCAGTGGGTACGGTGTATATCCGTATCCGAGTGTGTCCCTCATGGGCTGACACACACCTTTAGCTTGAGAAACCCGCCGGTGTAGTAATGAACATCTCTGGGTGTTTACAGTAGGAGTTCAGAAGTTAATTTCACGCTGCTTGGAGAACTAGCATCACATATCACACCGAGCACTTTTTGTGTGAAGGGTTGGTAGTTTCGAACATTTATACATGGGATTTCTACATATACACACTATACATTGATGTTGCGGACCAAGTATATATTTATATACTTTACCTTTTCTTTTTTTTTTCTGGCCCTATTCTGAGGTGGGGAGTGAACTTTTGAAATGTTTGGGACCTTTTTCATCTTTCTACCAGTTCTTCCACGCCTGTGAAGGTGGTGAGGGAACTCGAAAAAGGGTTCGGTTGGGGGAATGTCATGGGAAGTTGGGAAGGGGAAACTTTGCTGTTCAGTTCTCTTGCTATTTCCTTGGTTGGTCAAGATGTGCTAAATATATCTGTACTAAGAGCTTGATGCTTTCAATAAAGTTAACAAATATTAACTGTGTACTTGTGAATCATTTTATTGAAGCGTGCAATAACTCAATTCATGGTACGTAATCATAATTCAAATGAATATGACAAAAAATGCACCTTTAAAAATACATAATCTCTCAGGTTACTTGTGTACTTTTTAAAGAATTTAAGAAACCATTCTTGTGATTTCAAAATTATAATTTTATTTTGCCCATATAATATTGGCGTATATCAATAATTATATAAAGGTTCGGTCGATTCTGATTGGTCAATAGTTGTGCTATGATAAAGCACGGCTATGACCAACGGCTCGATGTATCACTGCGGTTTCCTATGTTCCCAGACAGCAAACTGACACTGAATCAACGTGGAAACGACGTCTCTCATGACATTGAAACAACGTTGATTTGCTCATCGAATTAACGTTGAACCAACGTCAGACGCGGCATTCTTCAAAGCTAAATGAAAATCGAAAAATGGTTTGCTTTCATAACGTTGAAACAACGCGTTGATTTCAAGTTGATTTTCCGTTAGTTTTGAAAGAATGACGCGTCTGACGTTGGTTCAACGTTAATTCGATGAGCAAAACAATGTCAGATCAACGTTGTTTCGATGTCATATTTCCACGTTGATTCAATGTCAGTCTGCTATCTGAGTTGTGTTTATTTGAGCTCTCATCCATATTACACATTGGACCGTTGTTGCTGTTCACGGTCAGGGACTATTTTTTCTAGCGGAAGGAAGGCTTTTAGTGATTTTACTTCATGAAAGTTGCACTAATACATATTTTTTTTACTTTAATATTTGTATTGTGTGGTAACCGTTTTATAAAAGCAATAAGGTACTCGAGGCAAGTGCTGTATCGTGAATAAATGACGGCTGAAGGGCGTTGTTGGGCACTTTTCGAAGTGGTACGACACAGCCTCTCGTAACGTTACCTTGTGATATCAACTAGCTAAAAACGACAAATCTCCACAATGCAAATTAAGAATAATCCACAGACGCAAATAGATTGAATTATGAAATAAACAGATTGTTTATTTATTTATTTTTTGTTATAGAAGCCATTTTAATGTCTTTTTATACCCAAATTATGATTAGTGTTATAATATTGTTATTTGTAGTATTATGTCACAATTGAAATGTTCAATGGGGTACTGAATCCCTTCATTCTGTGACTGAGGAATGATTGCTTCGTTTGAGGGACTATTAACCCTTGTGCTGCATTAGATTTTTAACACCGTTGAGTGCATTAAGGACCAAAAATGGCCACATATTAAACATTGCCTAAAATATTATATATTATTATTATTTTCCACTTTTACCAAGTTAAATCTTTTAACCAGCATCAGTCCTCATCATAACTACCAAAAATGTATTCAATTTCAGGATTTTAACCCTTTAATTACCAGTTTTGTTTGCGAAACCATCGATTTGTATAAGAGGAAAAAACACAAAAATTCAATTATTTTCAATAAACTAAATGCAAAGAGAAAACTTAAGATTTGGATTATCACAGTCCCACTTTGCAAAAAATCCCACTTAGTGCGTTAGAGACCAAAAAAATGGCCACCTATTAAACATTGCCTATTGCCTAAAATAAGGTGCATTTCCACCCATAGGGAATAAATATGTAGTGACGTCATCTGGTGGAATACTGCAATAATGCAAATATAATGCTTTTGCTTCAAAATGAAAGGATGTTTGTGCAAAAATCATGTTTCATGTATTACTGACAGCCTCAGATTTAAACAACGTTTTAATGGGTTTCAATGGGCCATTTTTGGTCTTTATGGTGCTGAGTGTTACTATTTGATCTACACAGTGCGTGTTATACATATTTTGCAAAATGGGATCACATTTTTTACATGTATCCAAAAAGTCACAATTTTGCCAAATTTCATACCATTTGCATTAAAACAGCCAAAATGGTCAAAGAAATTAAACTGCAAAAGACCAAAAATGTCCCTAATGCAGCATAAGGGTTAAAGGGCACCTATTATGCCCCTTTTTACAAGATGTAATATTGGTCTCGGTTGTCCCCAGAATGTATTTGTGAAGTTTCAGCTCAAAATACCCCATAGTTAATTTATTATAACCCTTTGAAAATGTCATTTTGGGGCCTGTTGGAAAATGAGCTGTTTTTTAGGCCTGCCACTTTAATGCAAATGAGCTGCATATTCCCGCCCTGCCTTTGGATGAGGGCGTAACTTGAAACCTATGGCCGTCGGTAAGCAGAAGGGGAGAGTGAGAGACGCGCTGTTTTGTCTGTCATTCAGCGCACGTTTGAATCGGAATATATAAATAGCACAAAGAGACTCCGGCAGAATAAACACAAATGAGAATGGACCAGTACGTCTCGGTATGGTTATTTGATACATTTATGTACTTACAGAGTTGTAATCGCGTCCTCTTTGCAAGTATGGAGGAGCAACACACACACACACAGACACACAAACACTAACGCTGGCGCATTTTTTTTAAACTAACGCTACATACACATACTGTGATAAAGTTTGCTACGTAACTTACAAGCGAAATTACATTTATGCGAGGGACCTGTGGCGTCATGTTTACTTGCCATACAGGTGCTTCTGTGGCAAATGTGAGGAGATGGCTAACATACAGAACATATATGCGGTTTTTAATACAATATCTTTAAAAATATATATTTATAAACGTGTGGTTACACACTATACAAACAAGGTTTAAATTATATACACTGACATTCTACGACGACAACAATTTTAGACGCTTTTGTTGTTGAATTGGCTGACATCGACTGAAAACTATTTGCTCAAAAATCATAAAACACACTTACTGTTACTGGAGGTGACGGTGGATCGCAAACAGTAGACGACGATCCACACTTGAGGATTAACTTTTAAGCCACAACAACAGGATTAACCCACGAGTCGATAAGTTATGTTTCCAAGAGACATTACCGGCTGTCGTTGAAACAATGGAGGATGGTGTGTACAGATCACCGAGGGCGGGGTCTAGGCCACAGCCACACTGTCAATCAAACCCCTGTCTCCCGTTCTACGTCACAAAGAGCTGAATCTCAGAACAGCTCGTTCTCAGACAGTGCAGATGATTTATTGAGATTGTAAAAAAAACACTTGGTGGATTTTTATCATTCCAGGGTGGTTTTGCTCACACACTGCCAACACACATTTATGTTCAAACACCATGTAAAAGTGAATTTTCCATAATAGGTGCCCTTTAAAGGTGCCATCTGGAACTAAAAATCAAAAAATATTCCATATTCCATAACAGATGGGGGCAGTATACCTCCAGAAAATGTGTTGTGCCGCTGCCGCACGCACTCACGTCTTCAAACAACACAAACGGCCGCTGTTTTGCTCTCTTTCTCTGCATATTATTCAAATCATTTGACACGATAGTAAAAGGTCGGAAGACCGCAGTTTCACATGGAGCATTTGGAGATTTCTAGAGATCAGAGACTAAATGAACAACATCTCAACACTAAATGATGAAGACCGACTCATAGACGCCTGTCTCAAAAACAAGCTGTTGCATTTCGACGATATGCGAAAATAAAAGCCTGCAGGCTATTATTTTAAGTTTATGGTATTCGTTTTGTTCATATTACACTTTTATTGTTAGTTTGAATTAATTTGACTGACAGCATTCGCTGCTGCCAGCTCTCATGAATTCACCGTGAGACACATGCAATTAACACTTAGCAAGCAGGTTAGTTAAGCTCTCAGATTCTGTCAATTTTATTATGTAATTCAAACAATAAATACCGTTTTGGCGCTTGTACATGTTACGCACGTGAACCGATCGTCTCTACTAGCTAATGATAAAAGAACACGAACACTGTTGAAAGATACAGTATGCTACAACTTACCAAAATGTATTCCTCATGCATAATGTCAACCAATCATTTTTTGAACTCTTCCCTGAACTGAAATGTAGTAGTGGGCTGTATTTTCCACACGACTGACATCAGGTTTAAGTACACACACAAGCCGGCGCTAGCGCGACTCACTCGTGTACTGCAGTTTGGCTGGTGCTAACGTTGCCCGGCCGCATACCGCCTCCCATGGCCGGAACTGGTATTACGACACCTGCCGGGCCGGGGCTAGTAATTTAGCATGCTAATTTAGGTTTATATCTCGGCAGCACTATAACTTGCCAGTTTTTTAATTACATCATTGCACTTATTTCTTCTCATTCTTTTGATGCGTGTAGCTCATTTTTTGGATATTTTTACCTCAATTATTACATATGGCACCTTTAAGGTAAACGCGCTCGAGTCATGTGCCATGATGACACTCGCCGGAAAGACCCCACACTTGAGCTTACCACTGAAGGTCAGTTATACTGCTGAAATATTTCTGTTGAAACATCCTAACCAACAAAACGAAATCAGTCGATTTGTAATGACTTAATTGCACGACAGTCCAAGCAAACCACAAACTACTCTGACACCAGCGCGCGGCTCTATTAAAAGGTGCAGTAAGCGATTTCTCAAAGTCTCTGTTGAAAGTGGATCAGTTTCTCCATACACGAGTGGTATTGATTTGAGTGTGCAGCTGGCGACTAACAAGCAACTCTTTCCTTATACTATTGTGTACGGTGTTCTTTTTTTTTTTCTTCCTTGTCATTCGTTTGCTAGCTTCGCTTGCGCTATGATCCAGACCTCAACTCTTTCATTTTGGTGGCGGGGCAATCAAGGGAGGGTGTGGGTGTGTTTGGGTTGATTTCAGATATCTACAATGATTCCAACAAGGAAATGAGGCTTATTAACCCATTATTAAATTTTAATTCCTTGTTGAGATCATTGTTGATATCGATATGAACACTCAGGTAAGCTATCCGTTCGCAACAAAAACTTCTGATAATTTCTGGTTTTAGAGCCTTACTCTGGCTTTGACTGCTAAATACAGTGAAGAGCCAATTGTTCAAAAGGAAAAATATAAAAACACACTTTTGGAACTTTTTTGACTGCTAAATTTAGTCAAGTGACAGAGGTGGGCACAAATACATCAAAAAC